CTAACACGAAGCATTAGGCCCCGACCATTACAACCTTGGCAGACTGAACACACCAGAAATCTTAAGCGACATAGTCGTGCGCTGGAGCGATTGTGGCGTAAAACCAAATCTCACCAAGCTTTCACCCTATATAAATATCTGCTTTCTTAACATACAATTCCTCCCTCCATGCTGCCAAACAAGCCTACTTTGTCACTCATCACTAGCTTGTCATCCAGTCCTCGTCGTCTCTGCTCTACTTTTAACTCTACTTTTCTCCCGCTCCACCCAGTACCTCATGAGATTGCAAATCATTTCAAAAACAAGACTGATGCAATACGTAGGGGCATCGCCACTGCACAGACATCCATCCCACTTAGCATACCTTATACTAAACCTCCCTCAACATTCTCCTTTTGACCTTGCTACTACTGAAAAGGTCACTAAGGTTTTCTCAGAAGCCCGTCTCACTACCTGCCCCCTGGATCCTGTCCCCACACAACTACTACGGTCACCCTCTTCTTCCATCCTATGCTCCCTCAGTCACATCTTCAATCTCTCCCTCTCCAACGGTGCCTTCCCCTCCCCTCTAAAGCATACACACATCACTCCCATACTTGGATCCCACCAACCTAAACAACTTAAGACCCATCTCCCTGCTTCTGTTTACCTCTAAACTCTTAGAACGCTTAGTCTACAATCGCCTGAGCTCCTACCTCACTGACAACAACTTTCTTGACCCTTTACGTTCTGGCTTTCGCTCACTACACTACACTAAAAACGGCCCTACTAAAACTCACTAATGATCTACTAACTGCTAAAACCAATGGCCACCACTCCATACACTTACTACTTGACCTCTCTGCGGCTTTTGATACGGTTGACCATCACCTCCTCCTCAAAAAACTCCACTCTTGGCCTCCGAGATTCTGCTCTCTCCTGGTTCTCCTCCTACGTATCGCAGCGCTCCTTCAACGTTACCTATAACTCGCTCTTCCTCTTCACTCCCTCTTTCTGTAGGGGTCCCTCAAGGTTCCGTCCTTGGACCCCTACTCTTCTCCATCTACATCTCCTCCCTTGGTCACTTGATAAATTCCCATGGCTTTACGTACCATCTCTATGCTGATGACACACAAATCTATCTTTCTACCCCTCACCTCACCCCTTCAGTCGCCTCTCGCATTACTAACCTACTAAGTGACATATCGGCGTGGATGTCACTCCACTTCCTCAAACTAAATCTTTCCAAAACTGAGCTCTTAGTATTCCCTCCAACCCGTGCCCCCTCCCCTGACTTCTCCATCACGATCACTAACACCACCATCAGTTCCTACCCTCACGCCAGGGTGCTAGGTGTAATCCTAGACTCTCATCTGTCCTTTGAGCCCCAAATCCAATCGCTGTCCAAATCTTGTAGACTTCACCTCCGCAACAACTCCAAGATACACCCGTTCTTAACCTCGGAAACTACTAAGCAACTTATTCACTCCCTTGTTATATATCGCCTTGACTATTGTAACTCCCTCCTGATTGGCCTACCTCATCGCAGGCTATCCCCTCTTCAATCTATCATGACTGCTGCTGCCAGACTCATCCACCTCACTAGCCGTTCTGTATCAGCCACCCTTCTCTGCCAATCCCTCCACTGGCTTCACGTTGCCCAACAGATAAAATTCAAAACATTAACAATAACATACAGTTGTGTTCCAAATAATAGCAGTCAGACATCACTAACCTGATCAATCACTGTTTTTGGTAGAAATATTTCTAAACGCAAATAATTTACTAGCAGGTGTAGTAGAGTAATAGAAATCCAACAGACCCAACAGTCATAACATGCATGCTGCTGATTCTGTGTAACTGAATCACTAATTAAAAGGGGCATGTTCAAAATAATAGCAGTGTGGAGTTCTATTAGTGAGGTCATTCATTCTTTGAAAAACAGGTGCCAATTATTGCCCTTATTTAAAGGAAGGAAGGCAGCAAATGTTGTACATGCTGGTTACAGTGCATTTCTCGCTGAAATTTTGAGGGAAATGGGTCGTTCCAGACATTGTTCAGAAGAACAGCGTACCTTGATTAAAAAGTTGATTGGAGAGGGGAAAACATATAAAGAAGTGCAGAAAATGATAGGCTGCTCAGCTAAAATGATCACAAATGCTTTAAAATGGCAACCAAAACCTGAAAGACGTGGAAGAAAGCGAAAAAAACTACCATTCGAATGGATAGAAGAATAGCCAAAATGGCAAGGACTCAGCCAACAATCAGCTCCAGGAAAATCAAAGAAGGTCTCAAGTTACCTGTGAGTACTGTTACAATTAGAAGACGCCTATGTGAAGCCAAGCTATCTGCAAGAAGCCCCCGCAAAGTCCCACTGTTGAAAAAAAGACGCGCTGAAGAGGTTACAATTTGCCAAAGAGCACATTGACTGGCCTAAAGAGAAATGGTGCAACATTTTGTGGCGTGATGAAAGTAAGATTGTTCTTTTTGGGTCTAGTGGCCGGAGACAGTTTGTCAGACGACCCCCAAACACTGAATTCAAGCCACAGTACACTGTGAAGACAGTGAAGCATGGTTGCGCAAGCATCATGATATGGGGATGTTTCTCATACTACGGTGTTGGGCCTATTTATCGCATACCAGGGATCATGGATCAGTTTGAATACATCAGAATACTTGAAGAGGTCATGCTGCCTTATGCTGAAGAGGAAACGCCCTTGAAATGGGTGTTCCAACAAGACAATGACCCCAAACACACCAGTAAACATGCAACATCTTGGTTCCAGACCAACAAGATTGACGTTATGGAGTGGCCAGCCCAATCCCCGGATCTTAAACCAATAGAAAACTTGTGGGGTGGCATAAAAAAAAATGTAGTTTCTGAGGCAAAACCAAGAAATAGAGAAGAACTGTGGAATGTAGTCCAATCATCCTGGGCTGGAATACCTGTTCACAGGTGCCAGAAGTTGGTTGACTCCATGCAACACAGATGTACGGCAGTTCTCAGAAACAGTAGTTATACAACTAAATATTAAGTGATTCAAAGGAAAGCAAAATCTTCTTCAAACATTTTTCAGTTTATATAGTGAATGTTTGAGTTTGTAAAGAAGAATACAAATACTGCTATTTTTTTGAACAGTCTAATATTCACTTTTCTTAAATTTTTTTTTTAGAGGAACAACACAAATTTTATATATTTTTCTTCATGTTTTGATTTGGAATAGAATGTGTAGTGTTCCCAATGCATTTGTGTGTATGGAAATAAAAGCTATTAGAAGGATTTTGAGCTTTATTCACTTTTTTTCAAACACACTGCTATTATTTTGAACACAACTGTATAAAGCCATTTATAACTTTGCCCCAAATTACATCACCAATCTTATCTCCAAATATCACCCAAACCATACTCTCCGCTCCTCACATGACCTGCTCTCTAGCTCCCTGGTCTCCTCCTCCCATGCTCGTCTCCAGAGCTTCCCCCATCCTCTGGAACTTACTACCCCAATTTATTAGACTATCGCCTACTCTGCTCACTTTTAGGCGATCTCTGATAACCTCTCTGCAGGGAAGCCTACACTCAGCTAATAATGGAATCTTCTACTATTCCTACCATTCCATCCCCCACAGTTACTACCTTTTGTACCACTAGCTCCTCCCTCCTAGATTGCAAGCTCCAAGGAGCAGGGCCCTCCAATCCCTTTTGTATTGAACTGTATTGTTGCTGTATTGTCTCCTGTTATATTGTAAAGCGCTGAGCAAACTGTTGGCACTTTAATAAATCCTGCTCTGGTGGGAGAATCTGTCCACAGGACAACTATTAGTCATGCACTCCACAAACCCGACCTTTATGGAAGAGTGGCAAGAAGAAAGCCATTGTTGAAAGAAAGCCAGAAGAAATCCCGTTTGCAGTTTGCGAGAAGCCATGTGGGGGACACAGCAAACATGTGGAAGAAGGTGCTCTAGTCAGATGAGACCAAAATTTAACTTTTTGGCCTAAAAGCAAAACGCTATGTCTAACGGAAAACTAACACTGCACATCCTAAACACACCATCCTCACCGTGAAACGTGGTGGCAGCATCATGTTGGGGGGATGATTTTCTTCAGCAGGGACAGGAAAGTTGGCCAGAGTTTAAGGGAAGGTGGATGAAGCAAAAAACGACAATAATTTGCTCCCTTCTCTTTAGAAAGTTATTGACTTGTATTGGTTAATCCAGTATGTTAGACTAAATAGGACTCTTGCCCCCGCAAATACCTCAACCCACTGTTATAATGGAGTTTATAAGTTTTTATAGGAATGTTGCTCACCTTTGTATTTGTTGATGTTACCGTACAACCTTGTATACTTGGCCGAATTGTTTCTTCTGTGCTGATTAATGGACTTGCAATGCACATTGCAACATTTTACAAATAAAGACTTTTTTTTAAATGAAAATTAGACATTTGTCTGCAGACAGACACCCCTCATGCACTAACTCCTCTAGCAGGAATAGTGTACAAACCCACTCATCCTCTGCCGACTATGTAGAAACAGTTGCAGCCACAGAGAAACAAGGTGCAGGCTTGCAACCCCAGTGTTCTCAGACATAGTTGTTGATAATTCCTCCTTGGACAAGATAAAAGAGGGAGCAACTCCTGAAGGAGATAATGAAGACTGAAACGTGGGCAGAGGACAGTAATCGAGACTACTGGTGACAGGTCCCATGGGAGGTACACTGCAAGCTACCATCTCTCTCGCTCTCTCTCTCTATATATCTATCTATATCTCTATCTCATTTATTTATTCTTTCTTTATTTCATTTCACCCCCACTCTCGTCTAGACAAGAATGATGTGTTCCTGCACCAGGACAATGATGGACAGGTAAGTTGTGAATTGAGGACAATCCAGCCTAACAGGTAATAGGGGCAAGTTTTAAAAAAAAAAAAAAAACCCCCAAAAAGAAACAAAAAAAAAAAAAAACAAACAAAAAACTGACTGAATGCCACAATTTCAACAGAAAAGTATATTCCAGTTATACATACCACAGGTTCCCAACCAAGCAGAAGTTTAGCTTTTCTGATGTCTGGCTTTCGCCTTTGAGGATCATCTTGAGCTTCAGAAAGAAAGTTGATTTCCCCTCCACTACCTATAAGGGCAAAAAAAGATCTCACTACATGCACAACTAACAGAGTTTCACATGACCATAGCATAGCACACGCTTTTATTTGCAAATCCAATTTCATTAAGTTTTACATGTAACAACATATTCATATACAGCATGCATCACTAAATGGTGGACCGAGTTCACTGTCCCATCTGGACCCATGCAGTCCTGTCATCCCTACAAGTGAACAAAAATACCTTGGCATCTGCCAGATATGTACTCCTAAGTCTTGTTGTGGGATGACAACATTCAGCATTTCTGTGGAGTGGTGTCAGCCCTGCCCAGTGTCAAAATGCTCCGAACCATCTACTCTCCCTTTCCCACAATAAAGGCTAGTCTTATAAAGTAGTATACAAGGACTGGGAGGGCTTACAAACACAGAAGTGAACACTGAACAGCTATGAATTTCTAGCAAATACAATCAGATAAAACGAGCGCTGGATAAACATACAAAAGGAGCAGCTAGCAAGAAAAGGTAAAAACCTCAAACCCTCTCATCAATAATAAAATAAAACTCATGCAGTGCTAAAAGTATGAGAAAAACACATAAAATCATAAATTATATGATACCAATATAACGAATTTAAAAAAATATGAAAGTGACCAAGTTCAATGACCTTATCTATTATAGTGACATAACTAGATATTAATATAAAATTACAAGATATAATATCCACAAAAGTTTAAAGTGCCAGAAATCAAATACACGCACTATGGCGTATGGTGAAGTGCAAGTATACCCACCAAAACATATGGTGAAGTATAGATGTGATAAGAACGTCCCCAAGTGGCATTTCCAGGTGCATATGTGATTAGTCTCTGATTAGTGTAGATCCGTGATGGTGAAAGAAAATAAATGGCCATAGATTGCACTCACTAGAGAGCGCAAATGAATGCGCATTTGAGTATTAAGGACCAACTCCTGGTCATCAGCATCAGGTTACTTAAAACATCAGGTCATCTGGTGGGCATCAGAAAGGGCAGACAGCACACCATCAGGTAGTATTCAGCACCGAGGATGGATTAGCCACCAGGGGAATCACAAAGGCCTTTGAAAAAGGAACATGTCAGGAAGCCTGCCTCATTGCCACAGTATGGTTGGTACAGTTTCTTATGGACACCAGACTACCAGATCGTTACTATTTGGACATAATTTTTCCATTGTGAGTTTATTTTATCTTTTCATTTAACCTTGAATAAAATTAAGTTACTTGATTAAGGGAAGTCTTTTTGTTTTGGCTCACTTCTGGTGAGTCTTTTCCACAAGGATACCCATTGTGACCTGACTGAAGTTACTAGTGTGATTCCCCTGGTGGCTAATCCTAGTGGCTAATTAGCTGCAGGTTGCTTTTACAAGCAGCGGGAGACGATGCCCCCCCTCCCCCACTGCCTTCCAGGGCAGTCCCGTGCCATCAGGGCAACCTGAGAATGCAGCCGGCGTTTCTGCCAGCTGACCAGAATGGTGCCAATCACCTCTATAGCCTAAGAAATCGGAAGCTACGAGCATTTCATCACTTCAGTTTCACAGGATATAAACAGCGCCATTTCTAAATTGGGAAAGTATCTGATCACACTGATCTTGGTTTGATTAGATAATGTAAGGGCAGAGGAGATATCTAGAGTCTGATAGACCCCAGATTTTCTCAAAAAAGAATATACGACAATGCCCATTGAAGTTATAGGGGATATTTGCATTCCCTGTGATAGCATTAACAGTGATCAAAAAAAAAAAAAAAAAGTACCCTCCCCCCCCCGCGCACATCTGCATTTGTAAGAGTTGACCCTGTGCCAGTATGGAAACAGCGGTTGCACCATGCATGTGAGGTATCGCCACAACCATCAGATCAAGGGCAGTAATTCTAACACTAGACACTGTAAATCTAAAATGGTAGCTTGTAAAGGCTTTTAAAAACTGCCTATTAAAAACGTATGCAGTTTGTCGCCATTGTATGGGGCATGCACAGTTTTAAAGCATGTCATGTTTGGTATCTATTTACTCAGCATACCATCATCTTTTATATGTTACCAAATAATTGGTCAATATTTTGTGTATTTGTGCATTAAAAGTAAAAAAGTGTATTTTTTTTTTTTTTTTTTAAATTGCGTTTGAAAAATTGCTGCGTGAGTACTATGTGATATAAAATTGCATTGCAGTACCCACCATTTTATTCACTAGGGTGTTTGCTTAAAAAAAATATGTTTGGGGTTTAAATTAAATTTCCTAGCAAAAAATACAGATTTTTTTCATGTGAACAAAAAGTAATCAGAAAAGTCTTGATCTTCAGGTGGTTAGAAGAGTGAGTGATGTGTGGCATAAATTTCTAATGCTGGGCATAAAATGCCCCCCCCCCCCCCAAAACGACCCCTTTTTGGAAAGTAGACACCCCAAACTATTTACTGAGAGGCATTTTGAATCAATAGAAGAACTTATTTTTTTTACACAAGTTTTTGGAAAATTACAAAAAAATTTATTTTTATTTATTTTTTTTTTTTTTTTTTTACACAAAATTGTCACTTAAATGATTTATTGCTAACACATGCCATGGAAATATGTGGAATTACTCCCCAGAATACATTCTGTTACATGGGGGTACCACATGTGAAAGATATTTTGGCAGTCTAGCCAAGTACAGGACCCCAAAATCCAATAAGCACCATCAGGCTTTTAAAGGGCGTTATTTCCTCATTACACTTCCTGACTACCTATCACAGTTTCAGAGGTCCTGAAATGCCAGGATAGCACCAAACTCCCCCAAATGGCCACTTTTTGAAAAGACACCCCAAAGAATTTGATCAGAAGCATGGTTAGCATTTTGCAGATCTCGTTTGTTGCCACAAGTTTTCGAAAATTGAAGAAAAAAAAAACCAAACATTTCTTCTTTTCTTATTTTATATTTCAAAAGCCTGCGAGAAAAAATGAGATCTGCAAAATACTCACCATGCCTCTTTTTAAAATTCCTTGGGCTGTCTACATTCCAAAAAGGGGTAATTTGGGGGGTTTGGTGCTATCTTGGCATTTCAGGGCCTTCGAAACTGATAGCTAGTGAGGAAGTGAAATGAGGAAGTTACGCACCTTCAGGCTTTCAAAGTGGTCATTGGATTTCAGGCTCCTGTATGTGGCTAGGCTCCCAAAAAGTCTCACACATGTGGTATCCCCATACTCGGTAGAAGTAGCAGAATGTATTTTGAGGTATAACTCCACATATACCCATGGTTTGTGCGAGAAATATATAATCAGAAAGCTTAAGGTGTCTACTTTCTGAAAAGGGGTCATTTGGGGGTGTTTGTACTATTCTGGTATTTTAGCACCTCAAGAAATGTAATAGGCAGTCAGAAAGTAAAAGCTGTGTAAATTCCATTATCTATACCAGGGGTCCTCAAACTTTTTAAACAGGGGGCCAGTTCACTGTCCCTCAGACCGATGGAGGGCCGGACTATAGTTTAAAAAAAAAACAAACAAATGCGGACACAGTACAGGAGATGACCAGAGACTGCGAACATACAACGGCGACGGGAATACTGGGCCGGCTGCTCCATAAGACGCACAGACATTTCCCCCCAAGTAAGTCTTATGGAGCGAAATAGTGCCCCATCATTGGTGTCAGTGGGAGGAATAGTGCCCCATCATTGGTGTCAGTGGAAAGAATCGTGCCCCATCATTAGTGTCAGTGGGAGGAATCGTGCCCCATCATTGGGAGGAATCGTGCCCCATCATTGGTGTCAGTGGGAGGAATCGTGCCCCATCATTGGTGTCAGTGGGAGGAATCGTGCCCCATCATTGGTGTCAGTGGGAGGAATCGTGCCCCATCATTGCTGTTAGTGGGAGGAATCGTGCCCCATCATTGGTGTCAGTGGGAGGAATCGTGCCCCATCATTGGTGTCAGTGGGAGGAATCGTGCCCCATCATTGGTGTCAGTGGGAGGAATCGTGCCCCATCATTGGTGTCAGTGGGAGAATCGTGCCCCATCATTGGTGTCAGTGGGAGGAATCGTGCCCCATCATTGGTGTCAGTGGGAGGAATCGTGCCCCATCATTGGTGTCAGTGGGAGGAATCGTGCCCCATCATTGGTGTCAGTGGGAGGAATCGTGCCCCATCATTGGTGTCAGTGGGAGGAATCGTGCCCCATCATTGGTGTCAGTGGGAGGAAATCGTGCCCCATCATTGGTGTCAGTGGGAAGAATCGTGCCCCATCATTGGTGTCAGTGGGAGGAACAGTACCCCATTAATGTCAGTGGGGGGAAGAATAGTGCCCCATTATTGGTGTCAGTGTGGGGGGGGGGGAATAGTGCCCCGTCATTGGTGTCAGTGGTGGAAGGGGATCGTGTCCCAACATTGGTGTCAGTGGGAGGAATAGTGTCCCATCATTGGTGTCAGTGGGAAGAATAGTGCCCCATCATTGGTGTCAGTGGGAGGAATAATGCCCCATCATTAGTATCAGTGACACCAATGATGGGGCACTATTCCTCCCACTGACACCAATGACACGTAACTTGTTGACCCCTGCTCCAGCCTAGGTGCTACTGCAGCCAGCATACCTGGTTGCAGCAGCACCATCAGCACGGCACACTTACCTGTCAGCTGTCCTTTACTCCGGCCTCTCTCTCACTCGATGTTCATGGGGCTGCTCGGCTCCGCCTCCTCGCAGCTGATTGGCCGCCTGTGTGCTTTTCCTGAGCTACAGTTTTGGTGCCCAATTACCGGTGAGGAGGCGGAGCCGAGCGGCAGGAGTGACCGGAGTGAATGAAGGAGCAGCACTTCCTGGACTGGATTGTCGTGGGACTGGGACCGGAGCCAGGTAAGGCACAGCAGCCCCCTGCCCGCCCCTGTACTTGGTGTCCCTTCCTGTCCCGCCCCTGCCGGCGGGCCGGATAAATGGCCTCGGCGGGCCGCATGTGGCCTGCGGGTCGTAGTTTGAGGAGCCCTGATCTATACCATAGTTTGTAGATGCTATAAACTTTCACACAAAGCAATCATAATACAC